TTCCTGTTTTGTATCTTCAGGTCCTAGCATAGTGCCTGGAACATGGTAGGTGCTTATTGAATATTTAATGAACTGGATTTATTTCAAGGTATGTGAGGGGCAGGAGTCCATGTTTATGTGGTGTGTTGAAGGTGTGTCTGCGCAGCTGTGCATACATGTGATGATTCATCAGTCTATGTGTATGGGACCTCCACTAAAATCCTACACTAATGTTTCTCGTAGATGTGGAGGTCTTACAAGTTATGCCAGCAGAACCCAATCCCTAACAGGTCCTATTAAACTAAAAAGGCTCCCAGTATGGCTGTGGTAACAGAGTGCCTGCTGTTCAAGCACCAGCCTAAGTGGAGGGAGGCTTGTGACCAGGCTTTGATCCACAGGGGGTGGACTTTCACTAGCCTTCAATACTGTGTGGCCGCTCTTCCTACTTCCTACAGTGGCTATGGAGTGATAGAAAAAGAGGTAAAGGAAGATGGAGCTGAGTGATCATTTCTATACAGTCTGCAAATATTAATATAACCATTGGTTCTTTGTCAGCACCATCTTAGTGCCATGATTGAGTTGACATATCCCTAGAGAAACTGAACCACCCAAATCTTAAAAGAGCCCAAGGAACACTTCCAGTGTACTGAGTGAGTTCTTTATTGAGGATATAATGCAAGATGTGGTTGAGAATGGATGGGTTGCTGTCTATCTCTACTGTGAGATTATTGATGAGATGACCATCTACTTAAGTATTGAAGGCAGAGAAGTGTTCTGCGGTGCACACATAGATAAATCAAATTAGAGCCCCTTAATTTATTGATTTTGTTGATCAGTATCATCACCTATTAGGTTTACTTGAAACTTGGAATACCTATATCATGATTAATGTGATTTTGCCAGAAGGAGTTTATCTCTTCTGAGTAGATTTGGAAAGTCAGCCATTTATCCACTCCTGTTCTCTGCTGGTCCACAAAGTTTATGTTGTCTCCATAAGTTTTTTGGCCAAAACTTCACTGAATTCCCTGCTGGGCTGATCTGTGACCCTCATAAATAGGTCCTATTACTAAGCCGTTTCTTCACATCAGTAGTTCTCAAAGTTTTTGGTCTCAGGACCCCTTTGCAATCTTAAATTTTAAAAATTATTGAGGACCCTCCCAAAGACCTTTTGTTTGTGTGGATAATATTGATCAATATTTGCCATATTAGAAATTTAAAACATCTCAGCATTATTATAAAAATAGTTTTGACCTCAGGACTTAAGGACCTCCTGAAAGGGGCTTGGGGGTACCCAGGGGTACATAGGCCAGATTTTGAGAACTGCTGCTTCAGACAATAAGGGTAATTTATTAGTTCAATTTCTTCACTGTCTTACTGTAATTTGAATGCATATGTACCCAAATGCACGTTACCTTCAATTCTCCACATACTGCTAAATTAAATAAAAGCTGTGTGTGAGTAGAAAGAAGTTTGAGCTCTCTTGATTTCTCTTCCTCTCTACTCTGCTTCATTACTCTAGCCATATGTTCCCAAAGTGCAAAATACTATCCCTTGTGGGGCACTGGAAAGATCCAGGGGGATGGTAGTAGCCTCAGGTACAATTGGGGGGCATTGAATAAAAATAAGGGGGCAGTGGAAGCGTAAGGAAAGAAGAGAAGAGAAGAAATTCTGGAAAAACTATTTGTATGTGTTTCATCTGTTGTGTAACAGAGTTAAAGTTGTAGTTATTACATTATTTTCCAAATAAACACAAAATGCAAGTTATGACCACTGGTGAAGTCTACTGACAGGTCTTAACAAGCAAGTGTTGGCAGGCAAGAGCGTCCCAAATTGTCAGGAAGTCCAGCATGTATCGGCAGGAATATGTGTATGTAATGACTTGTTTGTAATACGATACCATATGGTTACATGATGCAATATTGCTTCATCTAAATTTCAATGCAGGAAAAAACCCACAAATTTACAATACATTATTAAATTTAACACGTGTCATTTAAAATTCATTTTATATTTTTGAAATGAGCTAATTTTTAAAAAATCATTAAAGGGTTAAAGAAATTAGATTTCCAGGGGGGCACTGAGTAATTTTTTTTTGAAAAGGGGTCAGTAGACCAAATAAGTTTGGGAACCTCTATTCTAGACTGCCATTGATTTCCATATTGCCTCTTGAAGTTTGATTTGAGAGATTAAACAGGATTCTCTTTCTTGAAGTAGAAAAAGTATCACATCTTACAGATGCAGAGCATGTGAATCTTTTCCTCAGGGGAGTGGTTGACATCTGGAGGGGCCTGCTTGTTGAGCTGAACAGCTGAGGAAACAGCAGGGTCCTACCCAGTGGAAGTGCTCCTGTGAGCAACACTTTACAATATACAGGTAAGTCTCAGAGTTGTGGCATGCACAGGTGTATTAGCAGGGCCAAAAATAGGGGAAAAAACCCCCAACTTTCTGCATATGGTCTGAGGAGTAACTTCTGTGAAATAAAGATTAAAAATAGCAAGATTTCCCTTGTCCTGTGTGCGGGCTTGTCCACCTATTAACTTTGAAACCTTGAGTATGTGAAATGGTCAGAAAAAAAAGGTAACAGACAGAGACTTAATTGAACTAAAACTCTCAGTGGTGATGGAGGTGGAAAAACCCAAAGAAAGGATTGATGATATATTTTGTAAATGATCATGTAATTAATTAATAATGGAAGGTTTGGGAGGGGAGGAGGAAGGAAGAGAATTATCTTCAGCACAAAGGCTCAGCTCTTTAGTTTGGGCAAAGGAACAGGGCTCTCAGACAGCTTGGTTCTCCAGACCTTCCTCGACGCTATTTCTAGTCTGCTGGGATCCAGGAAATACTCGGCATGTTTGGCTTCAGTAAAACTCTTCTCTAAGAAATTACTTAGTCCACTAACAAATGAAGAGACTGAAATATTTCATCCAAAGACACCAAACTCAGCTCCTTTTCTAAAAGGTCTGAGGCTAGAACCAGCAATTGTTGCCTGCCTGTAAGAGAACATTAGGGATCATTGCCAATAGGAGTTGTGTTTTCCAGGAGACTTGGGTTTGGATCCATTGGTTTTGTGTGACCAAGGGACCTCATCTCTGCTTGGTATAGATATTGAGCAACATGTAATGCCAGTTATTTGTGAGTTCATTCAAACATCTGGCTTTAAGGTTTACAGCCTGAAGGTAGGGAACTAAATTAAGTCAACTGGTCCCTGACCACTCATGACTTTGGTTCTAGTAGCAATATTTCCTCAGCCATCCAGCCACAGACTCATCTCCTTGTTGTGACTATGGGTTACCTACAAAGGGGAACTTTGATTTGTTGGTGCACAGCCCCTTTCCTACCTCCCCTGCCCCTCCTAGTCTGGGGGGCAGGGTGAGGTTTGGGCTTATCTACATCTAATTTTTTTCAGCTGAATAATTCTTCATTTGCCCACCTCAATTTCTTCATCTATAAAGTGAGGGGAGTTGGACACAGTGACATTTAAGGTCCCCAATATCCTTCAATGCCAACTTTAGCTCATGTACTTACTGGCATAGTCTTAGGAATGAACAATAATTCCCAAAAGGATTCCAAAAGAGAAACCTGTTATTTCAGCTTAAAACAAGGGTTTACTTTATTGATTTACTGCTCTAGTAGCATGTAACATGTATAAAGAGTGAGACACAAGGCTGGTGAATGGGTTTTATGTATTTGACCTTCCACCGGCAGATAGAGGGCCTCACTAGCTTAGCCCTGGTAAGTCCTAAATACATGGGTTTTCCAAGTTTTGCAATAGTGAGTTCTGATCTGGCATGAAAATTTCCCTCTAGCACATTCACTAATGCCATATAGATGGAGGCTGAACCCCTGGCCCTGACCAGTGGGCTCCAAATCCTTCACTAACTCAGACTTAACATAAATGTGGATACCAAAGATTATCAACTTTTTCCTTGAATCTGGCCTAAAGTAGATAGCTAAAGAAAACCCATTTATTAACATGGAAACAAACAACACAAAAGTACTTAGCAATTTACAGAACTAAAGTTGAAGATGAAAAGTGTCTCCAAAGTCCACAGTTTGCCAAACCAGATTAGCTGACTTGACCTCAATAGGAAACATGGGTCCCATGGCAAAATGAACAGAGGGCAGTACCCCAGATCCCAAAACTTACTATTAGGAAGTTTGCCTTTTATCTGGGTTTCCTTTTGGCCCATTTGAATGTTTTCAGCAGCTGTTTGGTATCTCATGGAAATTTGAAAACTATACATTACTGCGAATCATTCCGGAACATATGTTATATATGCCTTTCTTTCTTTATAATTAGGAGTATTTTGAGAACAAAGCTCCCGTTTGCAAACAAATGTCACCATTAGCTGCCGGGTTCCAGGAAACACTCGGCATGTTTGGCTTCAGCAAAATTCTTCTCTAAGAAAACATTTCTGTTTTCTTGAAGAGGCAACTTATTTCAATTCATGCGGAAAAAGCAAACTCGGAACATCTCCACCCTGGTACAAACCTCACAACTCCCTCAAATTTGGTTACAATTTCAGAATGAGAACATGTTGAGTCCGAATCTTGGTTTTATAAATACCAGTCAGCCAAGGGTTTGGATGAGTCAAGGTCAACCCAATACTGGCTATAAAAGAATGGCCCCATTGGTAGGGAACTCTGAAAATGAAAGGGCTAGCCCAGCTCAGTTTCTTTCCTCTTCAGGGGTGGGGTGACCTCGGTGGAGGCTCAGAATTTCGAAGCTTCACCACCTGCACAGAAAATACTTTATTTATTCCAGACTTTATTTTATTCTAGATGGTATTTGACAACAAACCTTGGGGCACTCTGTCCTTTACTACTTCTTTCTTTGCCCCTCGTTCTTTTTCTGGACTGCAAATCCTTAAAAGTGAAAACCACCACCACAACGACAAAACAACAACAAAAAAAAAAATAACCCAACAAATGAACAAATGAAAAAATCACCTTGGGAGACAGAAAAGACTAAGACAAATCTGACCACACGAGAAATTTCTCAGCCTTGACCTACGGCAGGAACACTTAAGACTCTGGAGTGAGTGACTGGAGGCTGCTGCTGCAGGATAACGCCCCACACTTGGACTGTTGAAGAAGGGCAAAAATAACATCGCTTAGTCCCGTTGGTGTTCCACGGCCATGCATCTCACGGTGTTGGAGGAGGCTTTGGAGATGGGCAGGAACCCTGGCTGTCAAAGCTTGCAGCTCGTCCTTGCCACTGGAGAGAAACAAGAAGGTCTTATTATTATTATACCAGGAAGGCTGGAGGCAGGTCACTGTCAAGGGATTTGGGTTTGGTTTTTTTTTTTAATATATGCCCAGCAGTTATTGGGTCCTCATGCACTGAATTCACCTTTCCCAGCTTTTATAAGCTTTCCTGAATTTTGCTGCAGGCCATGCAGAGAAATATAGGAAACAGCTTTACTGTTCCATTTTCAGATACCTGATTTAAAAAAAAAAGACTTAGAGCACAAGTGATTAAAGCTCTCTTATTTTCTATTGTTTGTTTGTGTGTGCATGTGTTTTAATGAGGTCCTGTGCCTAAGCCATTCCTGAGTGTCTCAGTCATTTTTCAAGCTGAAAATCGGATTATGCAGGTAGCCAAAAAGGCAGCCTATAATGCGTTCCCTTACCGTCAGGAATCCACAATCATGAATTATTAGCAATTTGTCTGGGAGCTGTTAGTCCAAGCTTAAGAACTAATACTGCTCTGCTCTGAGGTCTGATTCACACTTCTTCCTTATTCTTTATTTACATTGCCTTGGGTAGTTAAACCTAACCCAGGAGGCCATAGGCAATCTAAGGACAGGAAGCAAAAAGAGATGGGAGGTTCTTGACTGGAGATTGTTGTAGGTTTTTGGCCCCTTCCACAGCCTCTTTAATGACTAATTCCCATTCTCTACCTGCCACAAATTTTTTCCCCTTCCTATCTCTATCCACTGCCCTCCCCACCATTTCTCCAACACACACACAGACACACAGACACACAGACACACACACACACCTGACTCATCTCTCTCCAGAGCATGATGATGGTTGTAATGAGTTGAGGGGTAGGAATGAAGATGGATGGACTTTGGTTTCTACATGATTCGATCATTCCTTTAAACTAAAAATCAACTCACAGATGCAGTAGTGTCTAATTATCAAGACTCTGACTTACTGACTTAATCCTGATCTGCTTGGGAGCCCTTATAATTCCAAAGTGACTTTTGTCTGACCCCTACTCATAGACTCATAGACTTAGAACCAAAAGGGACCTTAGGGACTATCTAACCCAAATTTCTCAGTTAACAGATGAGGAAACTGAGGTCCAGAGAGGTTAAGTGATTTGCCTGAGCATTGAGTGGCAGAATCAAGACTTGATCCCAGGTCCTCTGACTTTAAATCTTCTACTCTTTCCATTGTAAACCACTGACTGTGGTATCTCTTGTATTCCCTGCAGTATCCTGAATATCCTAACTTGGCTTAACATTTTTTGATATCTACAGCAAGAAAGTGGAAATGGTGGTGGATTCAAAGATATAGGCTGTCTCTTTTAACTAAAATCTAGAGAGGCTGGAATCTCCTAGGGACATAGAAGCTTCTGAGGGTGATGGGTCCTTAGTAACCCCGGTGTCCATTCTCTTCTTTTCACCTGGAGACAATAAGTGGTCTCCTCTGGACACAGTCTGTTATCTCCAAATACTAGGGCCAGACTTCCTAAGGAGTGGACTACTTGTCTCTGAGCAAAATTGACAGATGAGTTCACCCATGGGGTGGATGACAAGCCCCCCAAATTAAGACCCCAGATCCCAAAGCCACTGAGACTATTGAGTTTTCCCTTGGTGCAGGGAAGAGCAGGACTGTGGACTGCAGGACCTTTTCATGCAAGGCTCAGGTTTTCACAGTTCTCTGGGTATCATGAAGATAATCCAGCACAAAGCTCTTGGGTGATAATGAGGTACTGGGTAAATGATGACCACTAATCCTACACCCTGAGAGCGCAAGCTTATGTGACTGACTGGACCGGTATAGAGTGGGACACCAACAGCTTGGGATCATGACTTCTCTATAACATCAACTCTTTCAGTTCTCATTTCCAGATTCTCAATCTCATAAAGTCCTACTGTTGAATACTCATATACTCAGGGGAATTTAGACCTAGGAGGGTCTGGAAAAGGGAGTTATGTGGTTGAAGTCCTTCATCTGACAGATGAGGAAATGGAGTCTTGGCAAAGATAAGTGATTTCCTCAAGCTCGCACAGCTAGCTAGTGACAGAGCCAGGACTATAACCTGGCTTTCCTGACTCCCAAAAAAGTACTGCTTCCACTCCATCACCATCTCTGCTCCAGGCCACCCTGGACCAAGAAGGCAGAAAGTATACCAAGAAGCCTAACCTTGTTGGGCCCACCCCGGTGGTACTTACTCCTAACTCCAGGTGACAGTCTCTGCTTGCAGCATCCACATGAATGAAATCACAATCGAGGGTTTCCCTGGTGAAATATTTTAGATAAATAAATTGTCTGGTTGCTGAGGGCTCCATACGCCCATTGTGAAATCTGACTCACCAAGAGGTGAAATAGGATTGAATCTATTACCCCTCTCATTTAAAACACATTTCAAGACCTCTAATGTTTTTTTTTTTCCTATAACAGCCTTTAATGTTGGTGAAAGGTTATCTTGAAATTACTGTATTCTCCCTAGGTAAGCAATATTACTCAATCCACTGTTTGATAGACCAGGCAAGAGGAAGGGGAATTGAAACAGCCGTCGGAGTACCTTCCATACTGTTAAAGAGAAGTCACATTGGGTTTAATTGTCCAGCTAGGGCTAATGGGGATGGACTTGCTGTTCTCTGTGATTTTTTCAAACAAAGATTCAGTGAAGAAAGATCGAGATTTCCTGAACAATGGCAAGGTCAGTGATTGGTTCAGAGAGGATGCTCCTAGAGATTCAGAGATGGTGAAGGAGCAGAGCCCAATGTGCACTAAATGATTGTGCAGGACTCCGGCACTTTGAGCAGGGGGCCTTTTGTGGGCCTGAAATGGGTCAGACTCCAACAGAGACAGCCATCCCTGGCTGTTTATCTGAGCTTGGCCTTCCCTGAAGAGGCCATTGAGTCGATCTAGACACTTGCTATTGTGACAGAGACAACAAGTCAGGGCTGGAAACAGAGGAGGAAGGGAATGGCAACAGTGGTGGCCACAGCAGAGGCAGCAGCAGCTGCTGTGGGAGAAGGGAGGGATAGCTGTGATTTAATTAATTTTTATTCATGAAAAATTCTCAGCAGGGAAAAATGTCTTTTTCAGATAATTTGTTCCCCCTCAACATTATTTTATGTTCAAAACAAGCAAGCAGGGATGGTGCCCTGTGTTCTCATTAGGAAAAAAAATAATCACAGCATTCTAAACTCCTGTAAGAAAGGTGCTATATAAATAGAGTGCTTCTCAGATACTATCTCATTTATCTTCCCACGAACTAGGGAATAAAGATTATTCTCTACATCTTACAAACGGATAAGCAGGACACGTGTGAAGCTAACACTCATGTAAAATGGCCCAGTAAGTCAGGAGGGAGGGAGGGAAGAGCCAGACCCAGGGGTCTAGGAGGCTCTCAGGTAAGGATTCTCCTTCGGATGACTCCAAGGGTGTTGGAGGTGATAATCAAAAGCAAAAGGCTTTGAACCCCAGAAACACAGAAGGATTATTACTACCAAGCTGACGCTTTAGGTGTTGGTTTTTTTTTTTTTTTTTTTAACAAAAATCCTCCAACCACCAGGTGCGGAAGTGTGGGTGGGAATTTTATGCAAATGAATACCAGTGAAATCCTCTTTTTTGAGAAGTATGACATTTTCCAGCTTTTTTGAGGCAGAGGAATGATTATCAATTGGAAAGAAATATGGAATGGCTCCTAGAGGCAGGAAGGTAGGAGAGGGTCTTGGAAGCTGAGTGTTAAGAGGACAGAGAAAAAAAATGAAAACCCATAAGATAGGAATCAATTTATTCTCCTTTCTTTCCCCTAAACTGTTACTTTCCTTTTTATTGTCTCATAAAATATTCATTTCCAAAGTCTTGGGTCCACTTCATCATTTTTCTTTCTTTTTTTTTCTTTTTTTTTTCAGCGTGAATTCCTACATCCAAGTTCTCAAAGAAAATCAACTTAAACTCAATTATTTGGCTTAATTACTTTTTATTCATCATGAAGGGAAGAGTCTCTGAGGTCAAATCTCTCCACTGTAGCACTCCCAAACCCTGACCTCTCCAAAAGTCATTATTCTTGAATGTACCAGGGACAACTCTAGCCTGGCAACTGGGATACCGAAGGGTTGGGATTTATAGAGTACTTACTCACAGGGCTGATTTTAGAGTCCTAGGGATACAGGTTATCTAGAATCATAGATGTTTGGACCTGCAAGAAACCTTAAAGATTTTTTTTAGTGCCCTCATTTCACAGTTGAGGAACCAGGAGGCTCAGAGAGATTCAGCAATTTGTCTAAACTCACACAGCTCTTTAGTGGCAAAAAGCAAATAAGAGGGACCCACCGCTCTTAGAGAGGATATTCCTAAACCATTCCAGATATACAGGTACTTACTCTATTTTTTAATTATCTCCAGAATGGGGGAGGGGGTGGGGAATCTTCAATCTCCTCATTTGATACTTAAGTGAGAGATATTGCTACGGAGAGTCTTATATAACTTGCAGAGAGAGAGAGAGAGACAGAGAGAGAGGGTAGCATCTAAAGGAGAATGGAAAGAGGAAGGGAGATGCATTTGTGGGATGAGAGTCTTCCCTGCAAGAAGGGGACTCAGGACAGTGGAAGGACTGCTGTGGCAAAGACCGACAACATAGATATGGGGACATCAGGCAAACCCAAGTCGCTAGAATGAGAAACACTTTGTTCCTCCTGCCTTACTCCCTCTTGGAAAACCCAAAAAGCACAATTAAGATCTGGCAAGCTTTGCAAAGGGAGAGAGAATCGATTAGTTCCCCAGCTGCCTTCTCTATCTTTCTTGTTTATTTCCAAGTTTTTTTTCAAACTTTCTCAGTGCATACTACTCCACTTCTGATCCGAGCAAACAGTATGCAATAAAAGGGTGGGCCTCTCTCCATTCTGCCCTCAGCACCACTCTCTCTCGTTAAACTGAGTGGAGTGGCAAAATGGCCTTAGGGCTTAAGGGAAAGGGCTGTGAGATGGGAGGATTACACTGGCAGAGCTTTCCTTTTCTTCTCTTCTTCTTCTTTTTTTTGGGGGGGGGGGCTGCGGGAGCAGAAGGAAGGGGTTGAAGGATTGACAGATCCTATGTATTTATCCAGAATCTTACCAGATCTGAAATCTAACCAAGACGAAGAAAGACTAAGTCTTTATGAATTTGGAAGAATCCCAGAACCTCAAAGTTGGAAAGGGCTTCAGAGATCATCTAATGTGGCCCTTACCAGACAACATCCCTGACAAGTGGCCATCCATCCTTTGCTTGAAATAAGGAGGACCAGCTATCACTACATTTCTGTTGTAGGCTTTGATGCCTTGTGGCACTGGGAGGTTTCAACCTCTCCCTGTGAATGAAGAAGAAGGGGATAGGCATTCCTGAAGAGGAATCATAGAGTTTTAGGGATTGGTGGAGGGTGGATTGCCTGAGAGGTATCTAGTTTAGCCCAGTTAATTTCTTAGGTGGGGAAAATCTAAACTTAAGAGACCTGACCCAAGTCATGTAATTAGCTAGGGACAGAGTCAGAATTAAAGCCCAGGACTCTTGCTTTTCAGGCCCTACTGTTCTTTTTCTTTTTTTCAAGTATGAGAGACATCTCACTCATTATTATTAGAATCTGGTCCTAAGGCCTTGGCCTGAGGGCTACCTAAATACCACAAGGGAAGCTTCATTTGGGATGCTGTTTGTTGACTTCCATTTCCCTCCCTGGTGACTGTTCAAAACAAAAAGTCTCTGTGAAGGGAGTTTTTCATGATTCCCAAAGATGCAGAACTGCCAAAAGACTAAATTGAGCCCAGGAACCTTCTTCTCTACTTGGCTGGAATTTCCCATCTGGGATTTAGCCTCCATTCTTCAAGCCTTGTAGCTTTTCTCTCCCTCTCCATTATTCTGCTTCCTTTAGAGATGTAGCTCATGGCACTGAATTGTGCAGGAGTTGTACATGTATGTGTGGGGGGGTGGGGGGTGATAGAGAGTTCTGTCTTCTTTCGAGGCTGAACAAAACATGCCCCCTTTATCCTGAGCACAATGCAAAGGCAAAGTGGCCATTGACCGTGAAAAGCTATCAGATCTCTCTCAATACTTTGGAAATAGGGATAAGGAATGGAACCCCTCTTCCCATCCATCCAATGCCTCTTTTCTGGAAAAAAAAATCATATCATCAGCTTCATGTGTCCCTCCTCTTAATGTTATTCCTATCTTAAGTGAGACTGGGAGGCCCAGGGGGAATTTCTGAAGTCATGTCAATGATTACTATAATAGGATCATTGGATTATAGGTTTAGAACTGGAAGGAATCTTTAAGACCATTTAGTCCAACCTCTTTATGTTACAGATAAGGAAACTGAAGCCTGGAGTGACGAGGTGACCCAAGGTCATATGGGTGGCAAATAGCAGGACTGGGATTCAAACTCAGATCCTATAACTCCAAGTTCAGTGCTCTCTCTTCACCTTACTACAACATTACAGGCTCATACTTATTTTTTACTGTGAAAATGTTAATTGTTTTCCATACCTACCCCCCTTCTACTCCATGACCCTTTTAAGGTGACTTTTCACTTTCATCTCAAGGAAGCATATCCTTTATTTGTTCTCGGCATTTTTAAGCCATAAGGATAAAACAATGGAAACCAAACCAAAAAGAAAATGGGGGGAAAAATCACACACCTCAGCACGTGGCCCTCCACTGCCTCTCTTCCCAGGAATGTCTTGAGCCTAAAGAAAAGCTGATTGCCATTCTCTAGCCAAGTGAGCCATGCATAACCCATGCAATCTTGACCCAAAGGGCCAAGAGGGGCCGCACCCACCTCTTTGAAGGATTTCTTTACCTCCACCAAGGAATGCCAGTGTGCGATGGGCTTCCGTGGATAGGCCAACATCTCATTCCAGTGGTCTCTCCCCAGGCCTTCAGCACTGATCCCCACCCTACAGACTCCAATAATCTCGTTGTGACCCACTCTGAAAAGGAGACAAAAGATAGAGTGCTGGTGACCTGAAGAGCTTTCTTAGGGGTTCTTTGAAGTTGAGGCTTAGGACTCTTACACTCTTGAATGGAAATCTGAATCATGAGTACGGTTACCCCTTCCATCTCATGGGGGTTAAGGGTACAGTGTTGTGGTCTGGAAAATCCACATAAAATTTTTGGCTCTCCTTTCATACAAGAGAAGAAGTCTGAATTTTTTCTTTTTCTTTTATGGGGTGTTTGCAGTACCTTATTGTAAAATTTGGGTTAAGTATTTGGTCATAGGTCCTATGTCATCTGCTGGCCTTTGTGTACCATCTGCGGGCTTCTGCAAAACTCCCCCAAAATTCCCACGTAATTTCTTTTGCTGACTCAAAATATATTGAAAGCTCAGTGTGGAAGGGATAACTGTATGTTTTTCTACTTTGTCAATATTGCTTGGGTGTCTCAGAGGAGACATCAAAAATATAATAAATCAACCTCCTATCAGTATTTTCTCTCTGCCTGTTCCATACCTCACTGGGTTTTTAAGTGTGACTCATAGCCCACTTTTAGGGTGTCCCAGGGACAGAGTGGCATATGCAATAAATCTGGTAGCTAAAGTGATTTATTCACAAAATAGTAAATCAACAAATATTTAGTGATCACCTATTACATGTAGTGATATGTACTAAATAGCTTAGAATGAAACTTGCCATCCTGGCTTCTTGTTTTTCATTAACTTCAGTGACAAGAGTTTCTTGAACTCCTCCTGTGTGCTTAGCATTCACTTTACTGGTATTATGGAGGGGTTATAAAATCCAATCCTCACTCATGAGTTTATAGACTGAGCAGACAATACTAATACATATGAAACACAGAGAATGATGAGGTGCCAAACTAGAACAGGATTCAGAGAAGGGAGAGATAAGTTTGAAAAAGAATAATCAGAGAGTTTCCTGGAGAAGATCAATCAGAAACATTTATTGTGTACCTACCATTTACTAGACACTATGTTAAGTGCTAGGGATATGAAGAAATGCCAAAAAAAGAAATAAGAGGTGGGACTTGAACTAGTCATTAAAAGTGGTGGTGCAGTGGATAGAGCACCAGACTCGGAGTCAGGAAGACTCATTAATTTAACTTATTAACTTAACTCATTAGCTTACTAACTTAACCCTGTTTGCCTCAGTTTCCTCTTTCCTTACTACATCTTACTTTTCTCTTACTTCATCTTATTACAACTTTACAGGGTCATACTTATCCTTTTTTTTCTGTATAAGTAATACCTTTATTGTAACTTGATGTGCTGAAATGCAAAAATATTTTCAGCAACAAGATACCAAAAGTCTCTGAACATTAACATCAACTGATTAAAAGAAGAGGCTGGCTGGTTTGATGCAAGTGTTTATACATATATTATGAATTTTCTAAATCATACCCACCCCAATATTGGTCTTTAAATCATTATAACAACGTGTTTATTTCCAAAACAGGACTCATGTAAGTTAAGCCTTCATTCTACACATGGAATACAGAATTAATTGGATTGCTGTGCATAATGGTGAAGTCAAACATCTAAAGAATTTCCACAAATTCTCTTTCAAATATAAAGTCCATTTACTGCAAATGAAAAATAAGCTGCATCTAATTCAATTCAGCAAATATTTATTAAGCACCTACTATATGCAGAGCACTGGTTAATCTAGTTTAATCTTGATAGTTTATAAGAAATTATTCCTCTTCTATAAAATGAGCTGGAGAAGGAAATAGCAAACCACTCCAGTATCTTTGTTTTCTTAAAATCTCAAATGAGGTCATGGAAAGTTGGACATGACTGAAAGTGATTGAACAACAACAAGAGGAAAAGAGTAAGTAGACCTCGGGAATGGGCAAATAGTATAGAACTAAGGGCACAGTGAGTATATACATGCCTGATTGGAGCAGAGGGTTCCTATTAAGAAGTGCTGCAAAATATAGTTGAGGAGGTAAAATGGGGCACATGATAGGGGACTTTGAAAACTAGACAGAGAGATGCTTGATGCAGTAAGAAATAGGGATCTATTGTAGGTTCTTAAATTGGATTGGTGGTGGTAGGTGATAGGAAGGAAGAGATATTTTAGGAAGATTAGACTGGAGTAATGCACAGTGTATAGGACAGATCAGAACATCTAAAGAATGGAAGCAGGGAGATCACTCAGACATATATTGCAGTGATCCAGGCACGAGGTGACAAAGGGCATGGCTATGTGGTAGCAGTGGGAATGGAAAGTTAGGGGTGAATCAGGCAGCTATCTCAAAGGGGAAAAAAAACTTGGATTTGAAAAACAGGTTAAATATAGGCAATAAAGGAGAAGGAAAAGTTAGAGAGGATGCCATGGTTTCCAGCCCAAGAAATGAAAAGAATGAGGGTGTCACTCATGGAAATGACGTAGTGGGAAGAGAAACTTGACTTTTCTCTTTGAGAAACATCACCATGTCTCAGATTGCTGTTGGTTGATTGGTCATTGTTCTTCTTGAGGAGGACCAAAATGATATCACTGTGTCGGGGTCAAGGTACAGTGTGTCTGACTGTGGCTGATCAGAGCAATATTTGCTCAGAAGGCTCTATCACACGTCGGGCATAAATAGTCCACGTGAACATTTGGAGTGCTATACTGGTGCCGTGAAAATCCAGTTCTGGGCTTCAGGAAAGTAACAGCACCAAAACATAAGCTCAAGAAACCCTGAGCTGGCTCAATATTTTCCTCTTTTAAAGTCTCTCTAGAGCAGGGGTTCTTCATATGGGTTCTATGCACTTAAAAAATTTAAAAAAATATATATTTCAATGTATTTTGGGGGGGTAATCAACCATGTGTATTTTATTTTATTTATTTAAAAATATTTTTGCAAAGGTGTCCATAGGCTTCCCCAGACTTCCATGACCCACCCAAAAGGTAAGAGTCACTGCCCATAGGCCTGCTGCCTACCTGTCGTAATCCATAACGGAGACGAGCAGGCTGACTTGGTCCATGTTCTCTGGCGGGATGTCAAAGATAATGGCCTCGTTGTAGATTGGATTAAGTGTATTCTTCTTGATGGTGGTTTTTTTCTTCTTCAGCCTCCGCCCGTCACACAGCAGGGACACTTTGACATATGGATCTGTGATGGCGGTGGGAGGGGGATGGGTCATTGGGGGAGGGAGGGAAGCATAGGAAAGGGAAAGAAACTTGTTAAGCAGGTGTTCCTGAAACAATATTTGAACAGAGAAGAATCTGTACACAAGACCTACTGTGACTTGTCAGATGGTAACAGTGGGCTGGTAAAAATAATAACACCACCTTGTATTTAGACAGAACACCTGCCTCCAAGGAGCATTCAGTGCTTAATAAACACGGTCTCTTTAGTTCCCTGGCATCCTTGGGAGATAACTTCATGGACTTTTACTAATGGGGAAACAGGCCCAAAAGCAGTCAAGCGACTCCTCCGTGGGTATACAGGGGAGAAACCAGGAGTCCTTAATGGTTGGCCCCAGGCTTGGCTGACCAAAGGCCCACTGCCTCAGGCTCAGAAAGGTGGTGAGGCTGAACAAAGCCAGTTGATTTCCTTTACCTATTTGGATTCCTGTTCTCTGGGGGTTTGCCAGGACCATTAACCAAAGGAGTTTAGATTAGGGGGTAAAAATAGAACCCATTTAAACCCAAGAAGTGGAAATAAATGTGTCAGAATGAAACAACAGAGACCAGCAGGACTCTGTTCCTGTCTTCCCTGGCTGACAGTAAGATTAGGGGGTCCATTGTCCCCAAAAATCACAGTTTCACTTGGTCTAGAAAGGGGGAGTGGAGGCCCTGCTCTTGGCATCCCTGAAATTTACTCCCTATTGACTAAAGGGCAGCGGGGCAGCCAGGAGGAAATGTCCAAGGTCTCTCTGGGATTCAGGGAGAGAGGATGAGGATGCCATATTCCTTGGGGATGTCTTGCATATACCATGTAGCGTGAAAAGGTTGACCTCTGCTTCCAGAGGCTCACTGAGTGGTCAGATGGCTACCTTTTACCAATCTTTCCTTTGACTTGTGGCTCCTACTTCTCTTCTTCCCAACAGGGAATACTTCAGTGTCATCTTTCTACCCTGAAATTTTCCATGCATCCAAGTGAACCGACAACCAGTGTCCCTCCTAACACAGGTGTCTCAGGCCCCACCATAATTGTTATTTATGTTCTGCAGCTGAAGAAACAGGAGGGAAGCTCACAGGTAATAATAGCTTTTGAGCATCTGATGTTCTGAGATGCCCTCTTGCCTGGGAGCCAGGGCAGATTTTGTCTCAAAGCAGGCACAGGCCAGAACAGCTGGCCCACACTGGACCCGCAGTTCATGCTTCTGTCTAAACATATACGTGTGGAAGGGTTAGACATCTCTTAAGATCGTGCTAGTGGGATACTGGGCTCACATCACTGGGAGTGAAGAGAAAGAAGCCGGGAGGTAGAAACTATAATCTGAGAGCAAAAATTTAAAGTCTAGAAGACTTTTATATAAACTTTAAATGAGCCAGAAACTGAGCAATGGGACAGAATATTTATTTAAAAATATTATTCTGCAAAGGGGTTCATAGGCTTCACCAGACTTCCAAAGGGGGCCATGACACACAAGGACAAGGGCCTTTACTAGGGCTCATCCCTACCAATCATAATCCATAACTGAGAGGAGCAGCCTGTAACTTGACTTAGGAAACAACAGAGTCAGTAGGGGAACAGGATGGACTGGGCTGTATCCATGACACTTAGTAAATGACAGAGGCAGGATCTGAACCCACGTTCTCTGAATCTAAACACTGTACTCTTTTTTTTATTACCTTATTCTACTACCTTGAGCCCTGACTCAAGGGAAAAGAGAAGTGTCTACCATGGAGGCTCCTCGGACCCAGGACCATCCTGTGCATTTGTTTTTCAAACCCTGAGCCAGTTCCTGGCACAATGAGGGGAGTTGTATTTTTTTTTTAAATCAAGCCCAAATGTAATACCAGACCCTAAATCTCGGTGGAGAAGAGGTGTGAGTATAGGAGGAAAAAGCGAACTTAACTCAATGAAAAAAAGAAAAAACCCTTCTGATTTGAAACAACCTCTTTCAGTGGCATTACCACAATCTAGCTTTCCAACACATCAATTTAATTACATCAGGGAAGATGGTGTAGGGACTTAGGCAGCAAAACCCTATTTCCCTCTGCAGTTTCAAGAGTCCTCAGTGAATTTCCACCCCTGGAACATACTTATTTTGATATTAAAATGAAATATACATTAGATATCTTTCAGGGGAAGGAGAGCTGCTGCCACATAAGAGTCTTTTCACACTCCAGAAGTGGTTCTTTGAGCTTCTCTCCATGTCTTAAGAGTGGTGGAAAGAGTAGGGAAAAGGAGAGGTGTTAGGTGTGTCTTTCTGGGCTGGTGCTATCTGGGGCAGACTTTGGCCGCAAGCCTCCCTTGGAGGTGTGAGTTTATCAGAAAGGTACTAGAGGTTGGGAGCAGAATCTCAGTGTGAATCAAGGATTGTGTGTGTGTGTGTGTGTGTATTTATATTTATATATAAGCACCCAGTTGTCTTTCCCTGAAAAACTTCCAGTTTCAAGGCCTGATAACTTCATCTTTTTCCAAATGCCACAGGCTGTACCTGGATACAGATAAAAGTTGGCAACTGGGATATTACTTCTCTGTGGCTGCTATGATTATATTAAGCACATTTTTCTTCAAGGGAAAAAAAATCTTAAATTTTGTTTCATGCAAGTTTGGGCTTTGAATGTTGAGCTTAAAGTACTAGGATGGGCTTGTTTAAGGTGACTGGGTTCTTGGGTACTTACTTGGTGACCCCAAACTTAAGATTTTCTTGTTTGCCTTTGAAGAATCTAGCTAAGGATTTCAAAGGCCATGTAATCTAATGTCTACCTTCCATGCTGGGAACCTACAAGGGGAATTCTCAGTAGCATGACCCGATTTCAACTCTCCAGTCAAAGACCGATAGTTCAGATTGATTCAGGGAGAGATTGCCAGGATTCATCTGCCTTCTGGTAGCTAGAGCCTCAATTAATCCCTCCTTTCTAAACTCTTATCTCATGTCCCAAAATACTTCCTTGTGGATAGGGAAACATAATTGACATAAAAGGTGCCTCTGAGATGGTCACTGCAGCTGCTACAGAGATAAGAGTATCCTAGGCTAGGTTAGAGGGTTACAGCTGCCCCGCTGGATGGAGGAGAAAGAGGAGGAATATGTACCACAGCTGCCCCAGATAGCTGTCCTGAGGCTGAGGCTGAGACATGTGGAAAAACTCCAGTGGAAACACACAATTTCTATATGAATCTATTCCTACTTGCTGAGTGGATGCCATGCAGACCTAGGGATGGAAAGGCAAAGATATGCACGATCTTCCTACTGACCTGGTGATAAAACAGACCTCACCCAAACTACCAGGGCTCCTGTTTCCCCTTTCCTTCACTTCTCTTCCTTTCCTTCTCTTCTTATCCTTCTCTCAGACAAATGGTAATGTATCCCTTCTTTCCCTCCTCTGCGTACCTCTATCAGCCCCATAAGGATTCCCTGAGGTCTAGAGGTAAAAGTAGGGGCCATACCTGAGTAGCCTGTGATGTCCATTGCTTTGAGGTTACGACATTTGATTACCGTTAAGGTGAGGCGGCCTGCTGTGGGCAGGTAGCAGAGGGAAAACATGATTTCTCCCAAATCCACGCTCTCCTGGAAAGAAGCACAGCACAGAGAAGGATCAGGGACAGAGAAAACATTTGACCAAAGTAGCAAACACAATCATAGGCTTTAGGTCTGGAATCAATGATGGGCTGGTAAATGTTTAACAATCAGCTGTCCAAAAAATAATGTGTCTGCACAACGCACTTTTAAGTTTAATGTGCATTATTCACATTTTCTTCATCTCTTTCTTAAGTCTAGATGGTCAACTAAACAATAAATCAAACCCCGATTGGTAGCATTTGCCAATTTCTAATTTAACAATCAGTCCTCAAGAGCTGGTTCAAGTTGGCTCCAGCATATGCCTGACTGGAACGTACCTCCTCAATCACCTAGTACAAACTCCTCATTTGACACAGAAGCAAACTAAGCCTAGAGAGGGGATGTGATTTGTCAAAGGTCACGTAGCAAGTAAGTAGCAGAGCAGAATTTTAATCTCAAGTGTTTTGATTCCATGGTCAGCGATTTCTCCACCATATTATAATTCTGTTATTTTTGTTCAAATACTCACCCTACTTCAAAGACAGAAAGAAATGTCTAGTTTATGCCTAAATATTGATTGTTATTTTTTGGTGGTCAGCAATGAACTGCTGAGTGAGTTCACAACAGCTAAGGAACAAACTGGGTGACATGAATGCCATGGAATAGTATTGTGCAGTAAGGAAAGATCAAGATGACGAATTCAGGGAAACATGGAAAGATTTATGCGAATTGATGCAGAGTTCTTTAAGCAGAACCAGAAGAACAATAAAGACTATAATAACGTAAATGAAAAAGCCCTAAGAAAGGAAGGCCAACTTTCACTAATTGTAAAAGCTAATCCTGGTTCTGGAGAACAGATAAGGAAACATACCTCACTCTTCTCAGCAGAGAGGCAAGGCACTAGTGGGCAGAATATTACATATATTGTCAGACTTCCTCCCTATGTTGGTAATCATTGTTCAGCTGTTTTTGTTGTTTTGTTTTGTTACAAAGGAGGATTCAAATGTGTGTGTGTGTGTGTGTGTGTGTGTGTGTGTGTAATGTACATCCAGAAATAATTGTAAAATAAAAACAAAATGCATCAGTAAGACATTGGAAAAAATTAATATCATTCTCTTTAGATAATCCAAGCACCAAAGAGAAATTCAAACTACCTAGGAAGGTTTATGAATAGTGAGTAGGAAATAGCACCAAAGTTCTGAGATTCCCTTCTGCTGGGATAGATAGCCTCTTGCCTGACGCCTTTCTTAATCCTCCTTTGAGCTCCTTACTTGTCTATGGGAAAATTGGTCCCGTGCTTCATGCTTGGGATCATGCCTCTCTTATAGATCATTTTTAGGGATGTACAACTCACCCTGGTGTAAAGACACTGACCTTTCTCCATCCCCATCCCCATCCCTACATTAGGGCTTTGTGATCTTAACTTTGAGGAGGTCAGGATTTGGGGCAGTTCTGGCTTTAGGTTTGGCTAGCCTTTCTTGGTGTCCTGCTCCACTTTCCAAAGAGACTCATCCTCCATTAGGTTTTAGAATATGGAATCACCGATGTGGTCTCAGGAATAAAGTTCGTGGGGTGTCCATTTCTGAACCCCAAGATTGCCACCTCCCCATCTCCCCAAACATTAGGCCTGTCTGTTCACCTCTAGGTGGCACTGGCTCCTTCCCTTTCAAAAGCCAAAGGCTTTTGGTTTTTCCTAGAAACTAATTAAATCTCAGGAGAACAACAAAATGGGAATCAGAGGATCTGGAGAGGGCTTTGACCAAAGCTCCATCTTGTCCCTTTCTAGGTGCAATGTTTCCTCTCATCCAGTGAGTAGGGCTCAGCCATCATTCATTCAATTGTTCTATGATTCAACAATCATTTATTAAGTGCCCACTATATTCACTATTAGATACAGAGACAGAAATGCAGATAGACAAATAGATCCTGGTATCAAGGAGCTTATAATCTAATAGAAGAAAGACAGATACATAAATAACTATGATATACAGGACTTGTTATGCATTCACTATGCTCAAATATCTGTAATAGGGGCTGAGGGGAGATTGAGAGCAGGAACACCCAAGAATAAGATCTGGTCTCACCAGTCTAGTGGGGTAGAGACATGTATAGGAACAGCTATCTTGCAAGGTAAGAGCAGGACAAAGTGTCCCGTGAGATAAGCAAGAGAGAGATAATAACAGCTCACATTTCTAAAGGGTTTCAAGGTTTATACAATACTTTCCATATAACAACCCTATAGGGTCAATCATGTATTATCTTGATTTTGCTTTATTTTATTTTTTAAATAAATAATGAATTAATTTATTTTTAGTTTTCAACATTCACTTCTACAAGATTTTGAGTTCCAAATTTTCTCCCCATCTTGTCCCTCCACCACCCCAAGATGGTGTGCATTCTGAAAATCTCTTTCCCTAATCTGCCCTTCCTATCCCCCCCACTTCTCTTATCCCCTTACCCTTCTATTTTCCTGTAGGGCAGGATAGATTTCTATACCCCATTGCCTGTGTACCTTATTTCCCAGTTGCATGTGAAAACAATTTTTAACATTTGTTTTTAAAACTTTAGGTTGCAAATTTTCTCCCTTCCTCCCTCCCCACCCACCTTCATTGAGAAGGCAAGAAACTCGATACAGGTTATACATGTGTAGTCATGCAAAACACTTCCACAGTAGTCATGTTGTGAAAAACTAAGTATATTTTCCTTCATCCTATCCCACTCCTCATTTATTCTATTCTCTCTTTTGACCCTGTCTCTCCTTAGAAGTGTTTGCTTCTGATTACCACCTCCCCCAATCTGCCCTCCCTGCTATCATCCCCCTACTCTCTTATCCCCTTCCTCCCTATTTTCCTGTAGGGCAAGACAGATTTCCACACACAATTGAGTGTGTATGTTATTCCCTCCTTAAGTCAAATCCTATGAGAATAAGATTCACTCATTCCCTCTCACCTTCCCCCACTTCCCCTCCACTGTAAAAGCCTTTTCTTGTCTGTTTTATGTTAGATAATTTACTCCATTCTACCTCTCCCTTTCTCCTTCTCCCAGTATAATCCTATCTCACCCCTTAATTTTATTCTCCAGATATCACCCCTTCAACTTCAACTCACCCTGTGCCATCTATCTATCTATCTATCTATCTATCTATCTATCTATCTATCTATCCATATAATTTTTTCCCTCCAACTACCCTATACTGACAAAGGTCTCAAGAGTTACAAATATCATCTTTCCATGCAGGAATGTAAACAATTCAACCTTAATAAGTCCCTTATGACTTCTCTTTCCTGTTTACCTCTTCATGCTTTTCTTGAATGTTGTATTTGAAACTCAAATTTTCTATTCAGCTCTGGTCTTTTCATCAAGAATTCTTGAAAGTCCTCTATTTCACTGAATGTCCATTTTTTCCCATGAAGGATTATACTCAATTTTGCTGGGCAGGTGATTCTTGGCTGTAATCCTATCTCCTTTGACCTCTGGAATATCATATTCCAAGCACTCCAATCCCTTAATGTAGAAGCTGCTAAATCTTGTGTTATCCTGATTGTGTTTCCATAATATTCCACAATTGTTTCTTTCTGACTGCTTGCAATGTTTTCTCCTTGATCTGGGAACTCTGGAATTTGGCTACAGTATTCCTAGGAGTTTTCTTTTGGGGATCTCTTTCAGGAGGTGATTGGTGGATTCTTTCAATTTCTGTTTTACCCTCTGGTTTGAGAATATCAGGAGAGTTTTCTTTGATGTTTTTTTTTTTGTTTTTTTTTTTTTGCTTTCTGGTGAAGCAATCGGGGTTAAGTGACTTGCCCAGGGTCACATAGCTAGTAAGTGTCATGTGTCTAAGACTAGATTTGAACTCAGGTCCTCCTGACTCCAAGGCCAGAGCTCTATCCACTGCGCCCCCTAGCTGCCCCAATAATTTCTTGAAAGACAATGTCTAGGCTTTTTTTTTGATCATGGCTTTCAGATAATCCAATAATTTTTAGATTATCTCTCCTGGATCTATTTTCCAGGTCAGTTGTTTTTCCAATGAGGTATTTCACATTATCTTCTATTTTTTCATTCTTTTGGTTTTGTTTTACAATGTCTTGATTTCTCATAAAGTCACTAGCTTCCATTTGCTCCATTCTGATTTTTAAGGAAATATTTTCTTCAGTGAGATTTTGGACTTCCTTTTCCATTTGGCCAATTCTGCTTTTGAAGGCATTCTTCTCCTCATTGGCTTTTTGGGCCTCTTTTGCCATTTGGGTTAGGCTATTTTTAAGGTGTTATTTTCTTCAGTAATTTTTTGGGGGGTCTCCTTTAGCAAGAGGTTGACTAGTTTTTCATGATTTTCTTGCATCACTCTCATTTTTCTTCCTAGTTTTTCCTCTACTTCTCTTATTTGCTTCTCAAAATCCTTTTTGAGGTCTTCCATGGCCTGGGACTGATTAATATTTTTCTTGGAGGCTTTGGATGTAGCTTTGACTTCATTGTCTTCTTCTGGTTGTATGTTTTGATCTTCTTTGTCACCAAAGAAAGTTTCTATGGTCTGACTTTTTTGCGAGGTTTGCTCACGTTCCTAGCCAATTATTAAGGTTGGGGTCTGCTTCCAGTGTGGAGAATGTACCATCCAAAGCTTCATGGGTTTTGTGCAGCTGCTTTCAGAGATACTTCTAGGGACCTGTAAATTTTCAGTTCTTCCAAGGTGATAAGATCAAGGGCGATGTGTTTACTCCTTTCCTGGCCTGTACTCTGGTCTATGAGTGACCACAAGTACTCTTTTCTGCCTTGGAACTATGAGGATTCCCTCTCCACTGCTACCACAAGCTCTACCACACTAGCACTCCTCCTCACCCGAGGGCCACCACCCAGAACTGTGACCCAGATCCAAGCACAGGCAAAGCAAGAGAATCCTGCACCAGCAGAGAGATCCCTGTAATCCCCCTCTGATCAACCACTTGATTCCCCCTCAGTATGTGGGGCAGAAGCTGAAGAAGCAGCCATCACCCTGGTGCTGTGCTGGGACTGGGACT